CCCCCCCTGTGGTGTGGGTGGTGGGGTTGTTTAGGGCTTATCGGTCCGTGTATAGATATGAATGGGTGCAGGGTTGAAGGTCAGCAGCTGGGCGCGGTGAAGACCGCAACCATGGCCCATCCAAGTGAGTGTCACCACTTTGGACACGCCACGAAGTTGCATAGCTTCAACAATCACAACACTCACGAGGTGCCCATCCCTGTGACTGTTGGCGCTTTTGAGACAAGAGTGACGACCCGACGAGGATTTCGGGTGTATACCATGGGAGCGGGGAATACCATGGGGGTACCGACGTTCTGTAGCCGTTATACCAATCACATTGATCTTAATGTCATGAAAATTAGCAAATGCAAATTCAACACATCGTCAACCGTTGCTGCCAAAGGCCGTGAAGATTCACTCTGCCGCATCGAGGGATGTTTGCTTGGAGAGATTGGTACCTTTGACGGAAATGTCCGAAAGATTAGGGTTTAGGCTGAGGGGTTTATAGTTTATGGTTCAGTGCTTTGGGCATTATGCGAGTTCAAACGCAGAGGAGCACAGGTTCAATGTGGGATGTTGGGCCTCAAGGTGTTGGGCTGGAGGCTATAACTTGCTTGCCAATCGTGATTCAAGATGGGTTCGATCCCCTCCCGAAACCCTAAACAGCAAGAGCCTAGTTTGGGGCGTTTTGTTTTCGTTCTTTTCGATTTCGACCTTCAACGAGCTCGTAGCCAAGGCAAAACTCGACGTAAGGGACGCTGAAGCATCCTTTCCGGCAGACAAGGACCCCGATATGTTTAAAGGGTATGGGGTTTTTGGAGTTTAGAGGTTAGAGGGTTCAGAGATTAGGGCTCAGGGACTCAGTCCCAGATTCACGACAGATAGGTAGATATTCTTTAAGCGCAGTAGTATAGTAGCAGCGGCAGTATTAACAGCGCGAGGGTTGGGTGATGTTGTGGAAGCAATTTGCGTTTTGGTGCTCAGGTTTTCCTGGGGCACATTATGGGGTATAGAATTCTCCTTAGGTTCAGGCTCAGGTTTGTTTGCAGGTGCGAAAATTTCGGGCTGAATCCCAGCGAGGGCAGCTGTTTGGGTGCACCTATCTAGGCCAGCCTAATCCAGGGGCCTGATTCATTACCAACACAAGTTTGGGTGGTTCCTGATTCTGGTCTATGCAGAAAGTGTGCCCCAAAACTTTATTCTAGCCATTTAGGCCCCTACATCACTCCAAGTGCTTGGGCCCTGGCTGGGCCCCAAGCTGGATTCTCGTGAAGGAAGTAAGCTAGGGGTTTAGGGTTTCGAGTTCGGGGTTTAGGTTTAATTGATTTTTATGTAGCTTAAACTTCTCACTTGCTTCAGAAACAAGCTCTAGAACTCTAGGAAGGCCATGGTTCGCCTCTTGTGACAGTGCAAGGCTTTTGTAATAGTAGAAATCTACCTGATGCCATCTAAGATGTGACATTCTCCGTTTGCATTTTCCGGAAACCAGGAGCTTGTGCTGAGCAAGATCGACGACATGGCACTGCGGGTGCAGTTTGGAGATTGTTGGTTACATTTCTGTCATTTCCAGCCTGTTTCAACCGACGTTGTGTCGGGTGTCTATTGGGCTTTCACCTCGCAGGAGTTCGATTCTTTTGGGGTTGTTCAGCATGGTATTTTCCTGCCCTAGGCTTTGGGGCGTGGTCAGATCAGGGTGTGGGGCTTGAGGGTTTAGGGCATCGCGGCTTTGAAGATTCGCCTTCTAAGTCGCAGCATTGTTGTTCGGGGAGTTGTCAGATGAGGGCTGGCCGGATTGCGACACACATCCCGCTCGCAGAGGTTTGGTGCTCATCACGTCTTTTAGGGGATCCTGATGAATATCTGAATATCTATGTTTCTTACAGTATACAAAGCTTTTTATGATGGTTCAAGGGGCATTCCTTAAACAGAAAAGCGGGGTTGGGCTTTCTATGTAATCTGGTCATGCTTCTGCAGCTCAACGCTTGTAGAGATTCCCCTCCAACACCCAGACACAGAGGTCTGAATAATAGAGCCTACATTCAAGACCCTCCAAAGAAACACAACAACCAGACCCCGTCAAGACTCGAAACTCTCAACGATTGGAACTGGAGATCCAAACATCGCCATCACTGCGAAATCAAACTAGCTCTATCAATCAGTAAGCTTTATGCCCTAAACCCTACTAGCCCTAAAATCCCTAAGCCCAAAGGCCAACGAAATTCCGGAACAAATAATGAAACAGCAGTTTTATCCCAGGAGATCCCCTTCTAAAGCCTCTGTACACCGCCGACAAACAAGTAGCAACATGTTCAGCAACTGAACTGTGTGCAGCCAAGAAGGCCTTCAGGGACCTTACTCAACCCCATGCCGCAAGTAGAACTTAAAACTTAGAACACTCTGACGCTCTCTGAAACGACTTTTTCAACACACGTCAACACATCCATAGGCATTCCTCAAACCACCAGAAGCAAAGGACGATTTCAACCTCGGCCTGCAAAATCTCGTGATGCATCGCTGCAGGGCTGGAAGAGCTTGCTTTTTTGTAGGGTTGGGGGCTTGTCAGGGTTGCACAGTTGTCGGTGGTTTTCAGGTGGCCTTACACGTTTTTGATCTTCAATTGCTTGGCCTTCGTTGAGTCAAGGCATTTCGGGTGTCGGGATGTTTCGGGCTGCTATAGTCTACAGGGTTTAGGGTTCAGAGATCAGGGTTCCCCCTCAATCCTACGCACTGATGACACCCTGAACCATTGTAAACCCTATTATAGCCCATACACAACCCTAAACCCTAAACCCTGAACCCTAAACCCTATATATATATATATACACACCATATAAACCCGGAGCCCTAAACCCTAAACAACCCCTGAGCCCCTACAAAAACCTTGAACGGAGCCCTGAGTCAAGAGAGGCCTGAAAAGAACCCTTGCAGCAACCCCAACCGTTGGTGGTTGTGTTGTTACTTTCCTGCAGAGAGAAGAGTTTAATTCTAGTTTGAGGGTTTAGGGTTTATAGTTATATAGTTATAGGTCAGACACTGAGTGGCGGGGCATGGGGCCTTTTGTTCACAAGGATTCTCCAAGGGTTCTATTGGGATTCTGTACGGCTTTAAGGGTTCCTCTCAGGATTCTTGAACCCTCCAAAAAAGGAACCCTTCGAGAGCCTGTTTAGGCTGCATAAACCACACACCCCAAAGGCTATAGACACTTTTAGCAGAAAAGAGCCATTATAAAAAACTGTGAAGGAACCCTTCAAGGAAGTTTAGGCAACACACTCTACACGCCGAGGCCTGGAGCAATTCCTCCAGGATAACCGAGCATGCTCTGCTGCAAGCCTCTTCGATAACATCGTCCTGGCCTTAGTAGAAGGCCCCAGCAAACGCTGCCGCCAGCCATCGTCCTAGCTTTGGTACCTTTTCTTGCAAGTCCCATCAGGGAAATATCGGGGTTGATTATAGAGTAGGTCAAGCACAAGACCTCAATATGGATTGATGCGTCTTGTTTCTCCTGAAACGAGCACTAAGGTCGTGGCAGCCCTCACTGTCACCATGTGAGCGTTTGTCGAACAGAGGCTCTCTTCGAAAGAGGCCTGAACCGTCGGGTTGCTTGGTCTATGGGGCTCTTAGGGTTTAGGGTTTAGGGTTTAGGGTTTAGGGTTGAGGGTTGTATATGGATTATGAAGATACGGCTTCTAAAACTACAAGTATAAAAGTTAAGGTCTTATGGATCCAGCATCTTCCTGGGTCTTGAGGCGTGCCTCGAATCAAGAAGTTTCTTTCCTGCAAAAGGCATTAGATGATGTTTCACGTCGGTGGCAAAAAAAGGGGCAACCTATTGTAGGATGTAGCCTACGGTTCCAGTTGCAATCTAAGGTGTATGAGGGTATAGTCTACCATAGAAATTGTCATAATTACAGCGCATTCCTTCATTATGTGGTACTGGGGAACTTATTGATTGAGTCGACTCGGTCGACTCTCCGACTCGAAACTCTGAAAAGTGAAAACAGGCCAGCGCTTGCGCACGGGGCCTATGCCACTCTTATCACCAAAATCTCCATAAGCCCTGTAGACCTATATAAGCGGTTGGCTCTGCAATTGCGGGTCTTGGCAGGGCTGCGTTCTAGGTGAGCTTCAGATGAATATGGAGGTTTCACAAAATTCGGGGTTCCTGTTTGGGGCCCTCATCATAAACACCATATTCTTTCGAGGGTCTGGGGGGTGGGACACCCTGGGGCCCCCATATTTACAGTTTTTTCTCATGCTTTATAGCGAAAATCACCCTGGAAACACAAGGGTGGCGAAAGACTTGTAACAGCATTTATCTCCAGACCAACTTAACTTGTGCTGAACCGGTTTCCGTCATTCCATATACTAGATCTTATTCCTTGCAAGCATTTTGCATGAGCCGATGTCACCATGCTAAGGCTGAATGATGATTAAGAATATGTCTATTCGAGTCACAAGAGTTTAGAGCATGGCCGCACTGAATCCCGAAGATAGGTCTCAGTATGCCGCCACTTTACATGTGTGTGTACCGTATCCC